GGTTTTGAGAATGCTGATCGGCGTCTTGTTTTATTGGGAGTAACAGGCGTAAGTATTTGTGACAACTGCGGTCCGACATGGTATATAGACCGAATTGTGGTTTATACTAACCGGTATGTCTTTTTCATTTTGTTGTGTCAATGAAGGTTTGTTATTCGCTACTGATGAGTTGGAGTGCTCGCAAATCTTTATAAAGATTGTTACGACTTAACCCATAGATTTTTATTTATTTTTTAACTAAACACATAAACATTAGTACAAGGAGGCACCAAGTAGATATGCGCCACATAAATCACTCGACTTATGTGAGGGCTGGGATACTGCTTGGGTGCCCAGACCGAAGCAGGTGGTTTTCTTAAGGGGCCACACCCGGATTCTTTATCCAAAAGGTCAGGCAATGGAGCAGCGTCAGGAGGTGCAGTCTTATGGTAATCAGTGACCAACGATTGGTTCATACGCCATTTGTTCCTTCAGGATACTGGAGCCCATGTGCACTATTGGTTTGGAATCAGAGTTCCCTAACTCCCCTAGGTGGACTCTCCGTGTCCATCAACTCGGTTAAAGCGCCATACATTCGCATTTCTTCCTCTCAATTTCGTAAACAACACCCCCACCACGAGAAGGCAGTGGCTGTTTGCACGTGGCCATTTGAGAGCAATTGAAATATAAAAAAATAAGATACTCAAATTGGTGTGTAGCAGTGAGAGCAAAATGTGATTGGTGTCTGAGCGTGAACAAACGGGCACAGCCTGCTGATTAACAAATACGTGGTTTCCCTTCATCTCATTGATTCCTACTCCAGACTCACTGAGTGAGTACTTGTAATTATGTTGAAGAGTATTGTCTGGTCTATACTTTGGTTCTCTATTCTGGATCGGGAATCTTGAATCTAATATAACGTGAATAGTCTGATTAATGTGTGAACGTATTATCGTAACATACCTGAGTGAGAAAAATATTTAAAACCGTCCATTACATCACATATCTGTTTTGTTCTTTGTATTTACAGCATCCCTCTAGTCTAATAATCAAGTCTTTAAAACTAGTTTCCAAGGGTCATGCACTATGTACCCAGCAGTCATAACAAATGGACCAGTTCACTATGTAGGTTTTATGCTAACGGAAAAGCTGTTAAGCCGCATTAACATACACTATAACACTCGCGCTTTGCCGATTTAGTCGTGGATGCGCTCTGCTGAGGAGTCCCGTTATACGATGGAACAGTTGTTCAGTGTTTCCTACTTCGTAATGGTTGTTTCAGTCAGTCAGTCAGCGACAACGTAGGACCAGGCACATTTATGCATCGGTCCAAGTTGCCATACCTCGTTAGCACAACAAGATGAACACCGGATTCATAGAAGTAATTAATTTAGTGATGGTAGTATATAAAGAAAGGTTGTATATAAGGATATAGTATAGGAAGGAAAAAAGTTATGAAGCAATTTTAATCTCAAGGTTTAAGGCAAGATAAAGAGGGTATACACCTACGCCATTGTGATCGATTCTGAGCCATGTCACCCAGAGTCTCCAACCATTGGTTACGATAGTCACGCGGACCCCAACCAGGTAGTCTGCATCTACCAACATGGCTCAGACTAGAAGTTAGTGACTTCAAGCACTGATGCCATGTTTTGGTTTGGCCGCCCCTAACTTTCTTCCAACCGTCTCCAACACTAGTCAACATTGCACGTCGTGGTAATCGATGTTCAGGCATACGTAACACGTGGCCCAACCATCTTAGTCGATGAAGATTCATCACCTCATCAACTGATTTACCATCGTTCCCTAATACCCTGCGTCTAACCTCACTATTACTTACCCGGTTATCCCAGCAGATGCGAGCAATATTTCTAAGGCATCTGTGGTCAAATACTAGGAACCTACGAGTATCTTCTACTCTTAATGGCCATGTTTCGCAGCCGTAAAGTAGAACAGAACGAACTGCTGCGCAGTATACTCGTCCCTTAATTGATAGACGGATGTCTCGTCTTCGCCATAGGTGACGTAAATTGGCAAAAGCCAAACGAGCTTTTTGAATCCGTGCTGAGATTTCGTCAGACACCAACCCATTAAGGCTGATCAGACTTCCAAGATAAGTGAATTTGTCAACGCGTTCGACTACTTCACTCCCTATCCTTAGTTCAGGTGTTGACGCAGGCCAGTCCTGGAGTAACAATTTACATTTGGATGGGGAGAAACACATCCCAAACATCCTGGCATTATTACTTAGTTTTAACAGAAGACTCTGCATTTTGTCAGTGTCTTCACCAAACAGGACTATGTCATCTGCGTATTCTAAGTCGATAAGTGAACCTCCTGGTAGAAGATCAATTCCTGAAAATTCAGTCGACGAGAGTGTTATTTCCAGCAACAGGTCTATAATGAAGTTAAACAAAAATGGGGATAGTGGACAGTCTTGACGGACACCACTTGAGGTTGTAAAATCATATGACAGTTCGCCATAAGCTCTCACTCGACTGGTAGTGTTCGAGTAAAGAGCCTTCACAAGGTTTATGTACTTCTCAGGTACACCTTTCAATGACAGACACTGCCACAGAACCTCTCGGTTTACAGAGTCAAATGCTGCTTTCAAGTCAAGAAAAACTATCATGGTCGGACGCCGATAAGCGTGTCTGTGCTCTAAAACTTGACGAATGGTGAATATGTGGTCGATACATCCACAACCAGGTCTGAAGCCAGCCTGATTTTCTCGTGTTTGCAGTTCACGAGTCTTAGTTAGGCGCCCGATAATTATTGGGGCTAGTATTTTAGATGCTATGTTAGTCAGACTAATCCCTCTATGGTTATCACATGATGATTTTGGCCCCTTCTTATATATTGGGACAATCAGAGATTGTGACCAGTCAGATGGGATTACATCCGTCTCCCAGATTTTAGCCAGAATATTAGTCAACCTAATCGCTAAAATTGGACCACCATATTTAAAGACCTCTGGAACCAATCCATCAGGACCAGCTGCTCTTCCCCGTTTCAGATTACCTATAGCCTTTTGAACTTCAAGTAGGGTCGGGGGGCCTACTTCAATGTTCCATTCAGGTTTTCTAGTAATAGTGGGTAGTTGTGCAGTAACTGAAGGCCAGCTAAACTGCTCCTTAAAGTGTTCCGCCCATCGTTCTAAACGTTTGGGTTGAGAGTAGATAAGGGTTCCGTCTTTTTCCGAGATTGTCTCACTTACACTTGACTTCTTAATTCCGGTTTCTTTTATTAGTCTGAATAGTTGCCTGGTGTTGCCTACAGCCACTGCCTTTTCCATCTCTTTTGCTTTCGTTGCCCACCACTGCTCACGATCGTTCCTTAGGCTTTTAGTTAACCTAGATCTAATTTGTTTACGCTCTTCGTCGTGTTTAGAGCCTGATGGGATGAGTTTACGCGAATCTATCAGTGAAATAGACTTAGAAGAAATACATTGGTTTTTTTTGGAGCCCTATGGTTTAAATAACTAATAGATGTTACTGCTGTTTCCACAGCTGTTCGTGTGTCTTTCCAAGCAGCATCTGGGTCAGTCTCGTTTACAGAACTGCCTAGATGTGAACTCAGTTGCTCCTTGAATTTACATTTAGCTTTCTCGTGCTCCAGTTCAATCATAATGGGTCTTCTTAATGTGGTTTTTCTGCGTCCAGTGAGGCGCAAACAAATGCGTGCTCGTATTAAAGCGTGATCAGAGTCTAAACAAGTATTCCAATACAAGCGACAATCTTCTATTGAGCCTCTCCAACGATGACTGATGACAATATGGTCTATTTGGGTCCATCGTTGGTTTGGTGAAGATGGTCGCCATGTTAAACGATCTCTCTTTATGCTTAAAATTAGTGCTTGCTAAAAATAAACGATTGTCTGAGCATAGTTGCAACAGACGATCACCATTATCGGTTCGTAATGTCTTTCTGTTTGATTCAAGCTGCCTACCTGGGCATTAAAGTCACCCGCTACGACTACTATGTCTGAGCGCTTAGCTTTCTGAAGAGAGCTTTCTGTAAAAGTCATCTTTCACTTCATCATGGCTGCAGTCGGTGGGAGCGTAGGCAGAAACGACGAAAAGGCAACGACGTGTGTCCCTATACTTCCGAGTTCTTACGGAGCCATTTAGCCGGACAGCACACAGGCGACTGTTAACGGGGATCCATTCTAATAGTGCCTGTTCTGTCCTTGTACTTAGTGCTATGCCTACACCTGCAAGTCCACGAGAACTAGCCAACGGGTCGCCAGATACACGGAGGGTGTATTCCGTTGGCTGTCCATTTTGGCAAGGTGAGGTCAAGTGAATGACCACACTAGGATCCTGTATGCGTGTTTCGGAGACACAGCATACATCAATGGTACGAGATTCTAGGGTTTTAGCTAAGGAGGCCTGTTGACCGATTTGACTTAAAGTATGTACGTTGAAGGCTCCAATGTGTAGTTTGGAGCGAGGTTTTAGTAGAACTGGGACAGCGTTTCGCGCACTAGAATCATTGGCCATGGTGACACTTGAGGAGGAAACCGGAAGTTTAGTGTTGAAAGTCAAGGTAGAAGGAATTGAAGAAGGAGATTGATTATGAATACAGTGGTCTTGAGTGCTGTTAGAGGTATGAGGGCAGTTATCACTTCCCGGTTGCCCACACCGTGGAAGGGTTCTTCTAGGGGTACCTGAAAAGGAAATTAGGTTAGAAGTGGTCTTAATGACCTGAGAGCGTGACCGCTTTCCCCAAGGGACAACTGCTTGAGGTCGGTCACACACGACCTTTTTGTGTTAGCTCCGTTTTCCAAAGGGCCTTACCGCCGGAGACGGAAATCCGTGAGGTAATACGAGGTGTGCATTTTTAGGGTCGACCTTTTCTAACCTCACCCCTCCTTGTGGGAAGGTAGCATCGCTGTTATGCTGGTTGTCCGAAGGAAACACCTTACTGCTGTCACACCTCTGCACAGTCAGCAGTACGACTTTGGACCTTAGTTTGTTGCTTTTAGTCTTACTGCTATTCAACCAACCTGTCTGGCGTGGTAGGACCTTGAGGAACGATTGTTCCGGCCAGTATAGCTCGATCGAATCATCACGATAGGCAAGTCCGACCACCATATCAAGGTAGCAGCAACGGTCGGGTTGTTTAACTAAGATCAGTCAGTTATGTAAGCAGCAAGACTCAACCATCTCCAGAAAACCTAAAAAAATTGTGCCTTATCTTTATCTACTATAAGCAAATTACACGATAAATATGATAGAGTGACAGTTAGTAGCCCTTAAGCTTCAGTAGTAAACATACAAAACTAATGTACATATGAAACGGAGTGTGTGCCATTACCCATCCCCTGTCTATAATTGAGATTTTAAATTGATGAGTGATTTTGTAACTCGATATACTACAACCAGGTAGATATTATTAGATGCAATACAATCAATACATCACATGAGGAATATGAATAAATATACCGATGCTGTAACCCTCAAGAGCTGTTGTACAGTCAAGGGTATGTAGGTTTCGTTGACGGTAGAAGTACTCATAAGGATAAGCTCTTTTAACCTCTTCCTTATTTCTACGACTTTTTGTGTTAAGTGGATTCAAAAAGGCTTCGACACAGCGAAGCACATGAAGAATCAGCCTTCTCGCCAGACATTCTTTCATACCGCAAAACTACAGGTCCTTCAATGCAAGTCTTAATGATAGCGTGAGAGTGGGCGTACGGTGCTTAAACCCAGTTTGTAGATATAAAGGGTCAGCTCATAGGGCCTGAAACATTTTAAATTCATACAAGTGCATAGAGGTCCCAGGATTCCGAGTAGACGAGCGAAATAGATCACTATGGTCCAAAATAATCACGCGATCCTATCTCCAGTTCCGCTGTCTTGTAATTTATACCTGCAATTAATAGTCCCCTTTATTCCAGTTCGTGTTCTGGTTGTGGATGAAATGACATCTTTACACCCCACTGGACACTTGAATACCCTTAACACATGCCCTTGACAATAAGAGCGATCTTTAGTTCATTTAATAGAGCTGCCTTGGGATCCCGTCGAAAGAGCGTGACTGGTAGATTTATTATCACCTCAAAGATCCTGTAAAAACATTTCACACAGAGTGAGGTCATACAACCATCTCTTTTGTTCGAAAACAACGGTAGGTTTAGATCTGATTACCGAGTCCCATCATTCCTCTTTAGTTTTGCCATCAGCAACAGGCTTAAAAACAAACCTGAAAGGAATATACAATGAGTGTGGGGTTCAACCTTTCAGTGTAGTCACAGCATTGCCTTACTGCGCGATTACACAGTAGGTTGTACACTGCGCCCCATTGAACTCTCCAATACAACGCGAAACACACTGTATGTGCAAAACACGATAGTTAAAGGGAGAGTAAAAGATCGATTTCAAAGCCAATAATAATTTCTTACACAAAAACTATTGAGCACATAACTATATACGTTATGTATATTTCATATATTGTAACATAAGGAAATAATTTTTTTTTAAAACTTTAAATTTTTACCATTACCTTCATAGAATGGTATGTCATAAACACATAGAACATTGATCACATTGTTCTTTGACGCTTGTTTTTGTTAAACCGAGAGGGGCCAAGCAGAATAAAGGGTAATGGGACTTGGAAAGTGCATAATAAGTCTACTAATGTGATAATTAGGTGAAAAACACAGGTAGAACTGCTTGCTGGTAGTCAGCATACCAAAACTAATGGAGTATGATAAGCAGAATAAATTAGTAACTATTGTTTAGCGTTAATATTAACAATAAAGCTAACGATTTATTGTTTTTCTTTTGGTATTGAGTAAAAGAAAGACATCTATCTTGTAGGTTCTTCTGAATATATGTATATATATTAACAGAGATATATACATGTTTGTATATACACATCTTGATAGACTAATCGACCCACATGTACAAGCACTGAATACAACAGGTCGTTTACTTCTTAACAATTAAAATTAATAAAAATGAACATACAAATCGTTTGACACAGAAATACGGGATCCATACACAATGGAGCACTGTAAGTCTAAAATTACAATCTAATCGAGTGCGGGTAATATACTAACGAAATAAAAAAGCAACATTAAAAATATTCTTGATAAATCATATCATCAGCATCCGTATTACATGTTAATGAAACGTCAGGTAACATTCGATGAAGCTTCACTACTACACAAACTAGACCAAATTAATTCATTCAAAAATATGTGCCAATCGATATCCCATTCATCTTGATTAACAACAGATGGTAATGCCGATCGGGAATCATTCATACAATGTCTTAAGAGAAACAGATAACAATAATTCAATGTAATAATAACTAACTAATAAATTGGCTTTTTATAAAATCAGTATTATTCAAAACAGTTGATTAAAAGCAAACTAGTATTCTGAACGGTTCTTTATTTCTGCCTCATAACTGATAAAAACACAAAGTTGATAAAGTTTGCAATTTTTATGGAAAATTTAGTGCTAGGCTTTATTCTAGTTTAACTGCAAAAGTATACTCACTGTTTCAAAGAGTAATCAATATATTTCAAAATATTTTAAAGATCCTGAGTGCGATTTATCAAAATACTTACTCAATAGTTTTTAATTTTGAGTGGTTACCTAGTCATTAATACATTTTAAACAGAAAGAGTGCAGATCTACCAAGACCATGTAAAAATTTTATCAACATTAAATGTTACTACTATTAGGTTGTGAAAATGACTTATTTGTTTGTATTGAGTACATCACAACACTTCTACATAATCATTTTACAAACTTTGTGCTGATTTTTCGTCTTCCGTTCTGTAGTGGGATGAGTGGTAGCTGTGTTTGTTAAGTAAATGGGTTGAACATAACTATAAGTTGGAAGCTAGTCTAGTAGTCACTCATTTTCGAAATACGTATACGCCTACGCGCAAATCAAAGGCCTGAAATACATAAAACCCCATCATGAGAGTACACTTACTTTTTTATTTCAGAGATGCGATAATCAACTATGTCAATTTGATTACAATTGTGAATGGATTCAAACTATTAACTACGTGAAGATTGATAAAATAAGAATTAAAAATTCTGGTGCGATTTATACCTTAAATAAACATTCATAACCTTATATTTCACTGAAACACAAAACTAAGTTAGGATTTGTTCTAAGAATTTCATTTAGTTGTGCTAATGAGGTATGAGAACTTAGACCTCTGTATAAGTGTGTCAGGTTCTGCATTGGGTTTGACTGACAAACCTATGTTAGAGTAGAAAAGTTAGAAATGTTTAGTATGACACATAAACAGGTTACCGATGACCAAACAGTTAGTAGTCTCTAGTTCTAGGCAAATCCCAGCTGACGCCCCCCTGTGTTATTAATGGTGGTCCCACATCACTGTCAACTTGGCTGTATTTAGTGGGATCTTCTATTCTGAAGTTATTTTTCGTATAGTTATACAAGTTGTTTTCAAGTAATATTTAAGTGGAATAAAACTTACGAACTAAAGGCGTGTTTTTTATTGGATTCTTTAGATTTTTCATCATTACTTGACTTCATATGTAAATCTACTGATAATGACTTTGAATGCTTTGAAGAATTAGTATTTATTGATTTCACTTTATGATCAAATACTTGCGAAGTGAAAGAATCCAAGTTAGAGTTGGAATCAATATTTGGATTAGCAGTCTGATCGCCAGTAGTAGCCATGTTCTCAGTAAAAGAAGGGATCGGACTGTCGGTGGGTCTTGAGTTTTGAATGACAGAAACAGTTGATGTACAATAGTTTGTCGGATTTCCCGAACTTTCGACCACCTAAAAAGCATAAGAATAAGAGCCTGTCAAAAAATATGTTTTAATTTAGAAATTCATTAGGGAAATGGTTGGAAACATAGAAACATGAGAAAGTAGTCACAGGTAGAAATAAAATTAAGAACTTAAAAAGGTTGTATACAGTAAACAGCGTATAGGATTTGCGTGTACTAAACGCCTTTGCACCCGACTAATAGTCAAGCTAACAGCTAAGACAGCATCAAAAGAAAACATTAGTGTAAGTCGCCCAAGTTAACCTTAAACGCATTTATTTAGTGCACAACACAACTATGACTAAACACGCGAATCCCTCGGCTATATCTAAAAGCTTAGTACCAAAGGTGAATGCAAAACCAGACTTCCGTTAACATTTTAAAAGTAATCGGTACTGATGTAAATCCAACAGGTAGCCTAGCTGATTGGTGGAAAACAGCGTGACACCGAAGTTCAAAATTTCTCGCCAACTGCCTTCACCCACTTTAAGCTGATCTAAGGTAAATAGCATGGTAACGGGTCCTGATTAAGTTAGCCATATTCTATGTAGAACATAACAAAAATTTGCATCGATCCAGGTTTTTACACCACGTTAACACGGCGGGATAAAATTATGAAAACCAATTCCAGAGTAGTCAAATTAGTAACGATATCAGTACTACTAGTAGCAGTAGAAAATATTAAGTATCGAAATTCAAAATCCAAATGAAGAGAGAGGGCGAATGCACCTGCATCATCGCGAACAATTTTGAGACATGTCTTTCAAGATCTCTAACAATACATAGTCGTACTAAATCCTGACACGTCGAAGTTAGTGCTTCTTTTATCCCTTTCCATTTGTCCTCCATCGTAGTTTCTTCTTTCAGTAGATCTTTTAGTGCTTGGAACCTGTTGTTGAGAGTTTCCTTGAATTGGTTGAGTTTGCTAGTATCTCGAAGGAAGGCTGTATTAGACCTTTGTAATGCTTCTTTTGGACATCACCAGAGCAATTTTCTGTGTGGAGCATTTTCCTCTTCGTGATCGGAGTACAGCAGCATCTCTCCTGTACCTAACAATTGCTGTACAGCTTGGTTCCAATGGGTTTCCCTGATTTCGAGTACTGCCAAGTTGTATCTCCTCATTTCTGTAGCTATTTGACTCAGTCAGTCAGTCACAACGTAGAACTTCGTACGTACGTACATCAGTTCGAGTTGCCATTTATACTTTAGCACAGAGATGCACTTGTCGATTCACATCGCATAGTGGTAGAAGTAGTAAGAGTATAAGCAGTAATCCGAAAGATTAGGGTTTGAAGAGGTTATTGAAGGAGTATAATCCAGTGAAATAAATTTGGAAAGAGAAAAAGGATAGAGATATGAAGAATTTAGAAAATTAGAATTTGGCAGAACACAAAGAGTGGATACACCTTCGCCATTGCAAACAATTTTGAGCCATTTCATTCAAGGTCTCTAACCATCGGTTGCTATCATCTCGCAAATCCCAACCAGGTAGCCTACACCTACTTGCCAGTGACTTCACGGATTTGTGCTATATTTTGGACTGGCCACCCCCAGCTTTCTTGCAATCTACTCCTACACCATAAAACATCGTACGTCAGGGCAGTCGGTGGTTGGGCATACGTAACACGTGTCTCAGCTATCTCAACTGATGAAGTTTCACTACTTCATCAATCGATTTGCCATACTTACCTAGTACTCGTTTCCTAACAACTGCATTACTTATTCGGTGGTCCAAAGATATACGAGCAGTGCTTCGAAGGCACCTATGATCGAATACTACCAGCCTATGAATATCCTCTACTCTTACCGGCCATGTTTCACTGCCATGAAATAGAACGGAACGAATTGCTGCGCAGTAAAACCGTCCTTTGGTTGCTAGACGGATATCTCGTCTGTGCCATAAATGATGCAAGTTATAGAAAGCTAGACGAGCCTTCTATATTTATGCTGAGATTTGGTCTCATGTGCTGTTACGGGTATGAGGGCTAATATCACTTCCCGGCTGCCCATACCGTGTAAGAGTATTTCTTAAGGGACATGGAAAGGAAGTTGGATTAATTTTGGTCTTAACGACTTTGGAACGTGACCGCAGAAACCAAGGGACAACTGTTTGAGGCCAGTCACGCACAGCTCCGTTCTCCAAAGGGCCTTACCGCCGGAGACGGAAATCCGTGAGGTAATACGAGGTGTGACATTTCTAAGGTTGACCTTTTCTAACCCCCTTCTTCCTTGTAAGATGGCAGCATCGCTGCAGATGCTGGTTGTCCGAGGGAAACACCTTACTGCTGTTACACCCATCTACAGTCAGCAGTACGACATTGCTCTCAGACCTTGAGCTGCTGCTTTTAGTTTTATTGTTCTCCAATCGACCTGCCTAGCATGGTAAAACCTACAGGAACATATGCTCCAACCAATATAGCTCGGTTGGTTCATCACTATAAGCAAGCCCGACCACCACGTCAAGGTAGCAGCCACGGTCGGGTGTTATTTGACTGGTCATCCTGGTCTCCCACATTGCCTGAATATTCTATGTACCTATTAAAATTGTTGCTCTGGTTGTTAAAAGGGGCATCAGCCTCGTGACTTCCGACGGATCTCAGCTCTCATCATGGAGCGTCATAATTTTCCCTTCAACTTGGAGGCAGTTTAAATGGTTTAATTTATTTAATCTGTTCGACGTTTTTTTAGCAAGGTAGTTTTCTGTAGAATGGGGTTGCCGACTCTATGCCCAACCATCCTCCTTTATTTGGGATAGGGACTGGGAGTAACTCTAGAAGAGCTGCAGGCGAAGGTATCAGAAGACCCTGCATTTTATCAATGTCTCCAACAAATATTCTAACTCAGTAAGTGAGTAGTCGCCATATTGTCACACTGCATGTTAATATGCTATGCATACATTCAAGGTAGAAAATTCGCTCTTCTGACTAGATCACTTACTGATGCAAACGTTTTGGTAAAAAGCTTTCTTACAAAATACAAATAGATCACAAACTTACTGGACTCTGACTGTCCATATCGCCAACATGGTTGTTTAATTTGTCAACTTCGGATTGGGAATTCAGTGCGTTAATATCATGTTCATAGTGTAAGGCAGTAGAAGAATTCCTAGTTATTTCATTCTTGTTATGTAACAACGAGTCAGTTGATTGGTCAAGTAATCCATTAGTATCATCATTATGACAAGCATTTTTATTACTTTCATAACATTCTAAGTAGTTTTTCATTGCTACTATACAACCAGCAGTAAAACGTGAATTCGATGACAATGATTGTGATATGATATGATTTGAACTTATACTATGCTGATTGTGACAACGTGATCTATCTGTTGAAGAAAAATGATGTTGTGAAGTTACAGTATTAGCAATAACTTTTTTGGCATTTTTAAGTTGATCATAGCTGACAGACCGATTCCTAAATCTTGTGCGTAAACTAACAACTTCAGAGATTGGAGTTGTAGGGTGATTATTGGCAGACTGTGATGACGGAATGGCTACAAAAGACAAAAAACCAAAATTAACTAATAATTTGAATTATTATCCACACTGTTTAACCAAATAGGACAAAAAGAAGAGGATAAATTGTGTAATGGTAGATAATAACGTTAGAGATAGAAGAAAATTAAATATCATTTTTATCTACGGTCATAGGTTAGAATTTAGAACGACAATCAAACAATAGATCATCCATTATCACTTGCGTTTTTGAAAAAGATTACTAAAAACGAAACGAAAACAAGAATAAACTTTTCAATGGAAGAATGAAAAAAATGTAGTCAGTTGTGCTTTATCGTAAAGAAACACTGGAAGAGACAAAAAGAATATTAAATAAACATGATATAAGTCTACTTTCGTGTAAGTGATATCACCAGGTTAAAGTCAAGGACAGAATGTTTGGGGAAGAACAACAAAATTGTGTTTAAATGTAGTGAATATGATGTTGTACACGTAGGAGAAACTTCCAGACAGTTACATGTAAAGGTGCAAGAACACCATGTTTGAAACGTTACTGATATGGTGTGCCAATCAAAAGTAGCCAAATGAGGTCAATTAACGGCAATCTGAAATGACCCGAGGGACAAGTGTATATCATTGGCTAGGAAATGGATTGATTTTCTGAGGGGTAAATATATATATATATATATATATATATATATATATATATATATCAGAACAATCGAAATAGAGGAGACAGAATACAGTTACGTACACCATGAGGACTGCCGATTTAAAAATAAAAACGATCCTATCTATATTACTCGTATCAGGATTCTTACAACAATGGGTGTTTAATTATCTAATAAATTACTTCATTTGGATTCACATCCAATTAATTTTTACTTTACAAACTTACTCTCTAGTTATTCCTAGTTAACCCATACTTCCGTTAGCTTAACTTACTCTTACATATTTTCAAATTTATGTCTAATGAATAAAACAATCAACTGGTTCCTGTCGATATTCAGATGTGACAAGTCTTTTAACTGGACGCTCGAATCGGTTTCCTAAGCTCTTCTAATGACCCCAAACTAAATCTACACGACAACTTAAACACCTGAGAAAAGGTGCGAAGTGTAAAAAAAAACGCTTTACTCCAAGGTTAGTTCATGTACACAAAATCAAGGGTATTTATAGTATTTCTAGTGGCCTTGGGTTCCGGAGTTTTCCGGAACCATACTAAATACAGTATAATAGTAGATAATCATCCGGCCAGAAATGTGACAACACGTGGCTTTTCACTCCCTATATATTTCTGAGGAACGTCTACGCTGATTGGACAATATGTTTTCCATCGTTTTCAGTACTCTTCTTGACTTTTTCGAGCAACACTTTTAATCTCCCCAACACCTTTCTTTTTTCAAAAAATAAAACGTCTTCGTGGGATTTACTTGTAACTTGATAGCTGGCTTTAGGAGGAGTTCAATCTTTCTTGGTATCCTTCGGATTCAATTGATTAGCTATTACTTGCCGTATCAACAATAGTTTAAATATACACACATATTCATAGGCATGTCCTATTCGAAATACTATTAACTTCAAATGAATCACGTTTTATGTACTGAATCAACATTAAAACATAATTCGACAAGTCTTTGTATCGACTTATATCAAAAGTTTGTCTTTCATTGAAATCATGAACCGATAAAAGTTAGACAACTATTGGAAGTGTAGAAATGAACAGCTGTTTCACCCTAGCGCGGGACTTTTCAGCAGTGGATATACACAGTCCTACACACGGGAATCGAACCCACGACCTTCGGTTTCGCGCGCGAACGCCTGATCTTTAGATCACTGAGTAGGTACCCAACGATGTTAGTGTCTTTGGTAATTTACCTGACAAAGTTTGAACCAGATTGCTGCGCGAAATCTCGGGAGTATTTAAATTTCGATTTCCGAGATTATTTCAAACATAGTTTACACATATAATGTCATCTCTAAATACCTGACATCGAATCATTATCAAGTTTCCCTTTCAAACTTGATGAATGATAACGTAAACATAATGTGATATTCATTTAGTGTATTAACACAGATGACAAAAATAATAACAAACTACAAAATGGAAATCAAATATTGTGTTATGAAGATAGTAACAACATAGCTACTGGCAACAAATAGTCATACCTAATGTCGACATAACAGCATTAAGAACTTGTAGAGGAATTTATAACAGTTTACTCCTTGAATTTTGTGCTGATTTTGTTCAGGAACTATTAGCTTAAAAATTAAACATCCAAGTGATATAGCACAAAATTATCAAATTAAGAAGTAATTTAACAGACGATAAGCAAACTAGGTACGTGTAGATAAATATATCTAATATTCGATAGAAAATTGTAATCAGGTAGGTTTCTACCATAGTGAGCAGTTTTGAAATAAATTTCACTAAACTGACAAAACACTGATTTCAAACATCTTCAAAATACTCAAAAATAAAGCAGAAACGTGTCTACACAGCTGTTCCAGAAAAGCCTTTGAGATCTATGATTGAATATCTATGGCAGTCCCACTCTCTGGTGTTATCTACCTTTATTGATTACTTCTCACGGCTTTATATTAGTAGATATCAGACTGCTGAGCAATAAACTAGAATCTTGGCTAACAGTTGGTTATTATATCAACTGACACAACTAGAATGTATAATGACGCTAAAAACCATTACATAACTAGGAGTATTAGTATGCATCTTGAAAATAATAACCAATTATTTCCCATAAATGTGTTAAAGAATGTAAACCCATATATATATATGGAACTTACTGTTACCACTGACGGAGGGTTGAAGGTTGTGAACACTTTTAAAATGATTTGCAATATCATGTGTAGTACGATTTGGATCACCTTCCGTTTGAATTGCACAAAATGGACAAAGTACTTCTGAATCAATAGCATTAGGATGATGAGTAAAAACATGACTTGATAAAGACGATTCTGTGAAGCCTAACTGGCCACATACTGAACAAGTGAAACTTTGAACACAATATTTAGTTGAGCTCTTTAAAAAATAAGTGATCAAATTAAATGAACTATGAAATGAGGAAGATTAATGAAATGCATGATAGGATCCTTTGAAAACGGTGTGTAAAAGAACAAGATTTATCTAGCTAACTTGCAGATTGTCCTGTGACCACACAAACATCTATCTACAATACAATCTGATACCTAAATTTCCACAGGTAAAGAAATCGATCTGTCATAAGTATGCTTCTGAGGATCTGGTATGTCAATGAGTACTTTGTAGAAGTGTCAGCTCTGTATTACAATATACAGCAGTAGATATCAATCAAAATAAATTGAAGTAGAAATGGTTTTACATTATTTGCTATAACTGTATATCAAGCAATCGGAGGAACATACTGCTTATTTGGATTGAGCGAATAATAATATTATTTTTAAAAGATGAACATTTCAAGTTCGAATCTATGACTTAACTTGCTATGGACTATCGTGGCAAACGTCCTACGTGGATAACTGGTTGAATCGTGGAAAAGAAAGGAAATGCGGTTCAAAAGGTGTCAGTTAGCTTAAAAGTTTGGGTGTCCACTTCCACGGTGTGGGCAGCCGGGAAGTGATACTAGCCCTCATACCCTTAACTGCACACAAGACCAAGTTGGTCGCTTTCAAATCCTTTCTACACCTAATAACTCTCTTATCTCCACGACTAACCCTTCCCACGTCCTTTTATCACCTCGCACCGCTAGGGCAAACGATTCGAGTACACAGAACGTTATTCCTGGTCTCCTGAAACCACGCTCTAAACTACATATAGGAACTTTTAATGTCCGAACATTGTGCCAAATAGGACAACAGGCTTCCTTAGCTAGGACTCTAGAATCTTACACCATCGATGTGTGCTGCGTCTCCGAAACGCGCATACAAGATCCGAGTAGTGTCATTCATTTGACCGCACCTAATCAAAATAAAGTTTCATCTCGATACACGCTTCGTGTATCTGGAAGCCCTGATGCTGCTTCCCGTGGCCTCGCTGGAGTAGGTATAGCATTAAGTCCTAGGGCAGAACTAGCTCTTTTAGACTGGATCCCAGTAGACAGTCGTCTATGCGCTGTCCGACTAAACGGATCAGTAAGGACCCGGAAAGATAGGGAAACTCGTCGTTGCCTCTTCGTCGTCTCTGCCTACTCTCCCACTGACTGCAGCTCAGACGATATAAAAGATGAGTTCTACAGGAAACTTTCTGACCTTCTCCGAAAAGCTAGGCGTTCTGATGTAGTAATAGTAGCAGGTGACTTTAATGCTCAAGTAGGTAAACTTAGTGAAAGGGAAAGACACCTGGGTGGATCTTATGGTGTCATGGCGAAAAGAACAGATAATGGCGACCGTCTGTTGCAGCTATGCTCAGATAACCGCCTATTTCTTGCAAATACTAACTTTAAGCATAAGGAAAAACATCTTTTGACATGGCGACCCCCCAATTCGTCCCAACGTTGGACCCAATTAGATCACATCGCTATCAGCCACCGATGGAGGGGCTCGATAGAAGACTCGCTCATTCTGCAGCACATGTTTAGATTCAGATCATGCTCTAGTGCGAGCACGTATCTGTCTGCGACTTACTGGTCGTAGGAAAGACACTGCAGGGAAGCCTCTAAGGGTTCTACTTAATAATAGGCAAGCCAAGAATATATTTCAGGAACAACTAGAAAAACAGTTAGGCAGCCATGTAAGTTGTGTCCACCCCGAGGCAGCGTGGAATGACATCCGAAAAGCTGTGGAAACAGCAGTGATGTCCGCTAGTAAGGTAAACCATAACGTTAGGGAGAAACAATGGATCTCGGCAGCATCTTCCGCACTGATAGATGCTCGTAAACTCATCCCACCTGGCTCTGAGCATAACGAAGAGCGGAGTCAACTTAAGCGCAGGCTTATAAGAAGCCTACGTAATGATCGTGAACAGTGGTGGGTAGCGAAAGCAAGAGAGATGGAAAAGGCAGCGGCAATAGGTAACAGTAGGCAGCTATTCAGACTCGTTAAAGAAACCGGTATTAGGAACCCGAATATCAGTGAAACCATCTCAGATAAAGATGGGCATATCATTCATTCTCAATCCAGGAGATTGGACCGATGGGCAGAACACTTTAGGGATCAGTTCAACTGGCCTTCAGCCACACTTCAGTTACCCACGATCCCCAGTCGTCCTGAATGGCAAATTGGTGTAAGTCCTCCGACTCTTTACGAGGTTGAAAAAGCTATAGGAAATCTAAAGCAAGGGAGAGCAGCAGACCCTGACAGGTTGACCCCTGAGATTTTTAAGGATGGTGGTCCAGTACTAGCAGTGAGATTGACTGAGGTCTTAGGTAGAATCTGGGAACTGGACGTAATTCCATCTGACTGGTCCCAATCACTGATTGTGCCAGTCTATAAGAAAGGACAAAAGTCCTCCTGTGACAATCACAGAGGGATCAGTTTGACTAATATAGTGTCTAAAATATTAGCTTCAATAATACTAGGTCGCCTAACCAAAGCTCGTGAAGAGCAGACTAGAGAAAACCAAGCTGGTTTTCGACCTGGACGTGGTTGCATAGACCAGATATTCACCCTACGTCAGGTTCTAGAACATAGACACAAATTCAGACGTCCCACAATAGTAGTATTTCTTGACCTTAAGGCGGCATTTGACTCCGTTGATCGTGAGGTTCTATGGCAATGTTTGTCACTGAAAGGAGTACCAAAGAAGTACATTAACCTCATAAAGGCTCTCTACTCGAACACAACTGGTCGAGTTAGAGCCTATGGCGAACTGTCATCAGAACTGATTACCACAAGTGGCGTTGTCAGGGCTGTCCACTCTCCCCATTCTTGTTTAACTTTGTCATTGACATACTTTTAGAGATAGCACTTTCATCAGCTAAACCTCCTGGAGTTGAACTTTTACCGGGAGGCTCACTTGTTGACTTAGAATACGCCGACGACATAGTTTTACTCGGTGAAGACGCTGACAACATGCAGAGTCTTCTGACCACTATAAGCAACTATGCAGGCATGTTCGGGATGCGATTCTCTCCCTCGAAGTGCAAAATGTTACTTCAGGATTGGGTTGCAGCGACACCTGAACTAATGATAGGGAGTGAAGTAGTTGAGCGTGTTGACCACTTCACTTATCTTGGGAGTCTCATCAGCCCTTGTGGTCTGGTATGTGACGAAATCTCAGCACGGATACAGAAGGCTCGTCTAGCTTTCGCCAACTTGCGTCATTTATGGCGTAGGCGAGATATCCGTCTAGCAACCAAAGGACGAGTTTACTGTGCAGCAGTTCGCTCCGTCCTACTTTATGGCAGTGAAACATGGCCAATAAGAGTAGAGGATATTCGTAGGCTACTAGTGTTCGATCATAGGTGTCTTCGAAGCATTGCTCGTATATCCTGGGACCACCGGGTAAGTAATGCAGTTGTTAGGAAACGAGTACTAGGTAGGGATGGCAAATCGATTGATGAAGTAGTGAAACTTCATCAGTTGAGATGGCTGGGACATGTGTTACGTATGCCCGACCACCGACTGCCCCGACGTGCAATGTTTCATGGTGTAGGAGTAGGCTGGAAGAAAGCTAGGGGTGGCCAGACCAAAACGTGGCACAAATCAATGAAGTCACTGACAAGTGGACTGGGCCATGTTGGTAGGTGTAGACTACCTGGTTGGGATTCGCGAGATGACAGCAACCGATTGTTAGAGACCTTGAATGACATGGCTCAAAATCGTTTGCAATGGCGAAGATGCATCCACTCTTTGTGTTCTACCAAATTCTAATCTTCTGAATTCCTCATGTCTTTATCTTTTTCTCTTCCCAAATTTAATTCACTGGATTATACTCCTTCAATAATTTCTTCAAACCCTAATCTTTTGGATTTCTGATTATACTCCTACTACTTCTACCACTATGGGATTTGAATCGACAACTGCATCTCTGTGCTAATGTGGTATGGCAACTCGAACTGATGTACGTACGTACGAAGTTCTACGTTGTGACTGACTGACTGACTTGGGTGTCCTACTGACCAATTAAAGGCAGCTTTGATCGCAGGCAACGAGACCCGACAAAGAACACTTCTTGATATTCTGCTAGACACCTTTGAAATCAAAACCCCTGAAACGAACAGGCCAGTCTCGGTGTAAGCAAAGAATGATAGCACTTCTTTATTGCCTAGAAAATCGAAAGCACAGACCGGTCACACGGTTGAGGTGGATCTTAACACCAGATCCTACGAGTCTGCTCAAAGAGAGGATGTTAGTGGGACATTGATTGCATTGAAGCATGTCCCGTGCAGGACTAAGTTGGCCATTTATTAGCAAATCAAAGCCAGAGAATACATGGAGAGGGCTCTAGAATAGTCTTATATAATAATTACGAATATACTAACGCTTTTCTGGTTGTGTTTCCTACTTCCATTCAACCTTTGTTTATTTTAAATATAATTGCGTTCCTGTTCAACCGTGTTCTGATTTGGAGAAGTAGTGTCCAAGAGTACCAAGCAATAATAGTAGCTGGTTCGTAATAAGAGAACTCATAACAGTTGTTTAGATAAAATGAGATCAAAATGCCTAAAATCTAGTCCAATAGAAGATTGAATACCTATACTACCGAGTTAAACTATCCCGAAACTAAGGTTGCCATCTACTGTTCATCCTAATTATCTGGTATTTTTAAACATTATTTTTTGTGATGAAAAACGATGTACATATATTGAAAACTAGAAAAAGTTACTCACCTCGCCAGAGTAAAATACATTATGATCTGCTTTAGTGATCAAACATTGCATCGGATGATAATTTAAATGCTTTTCACTTTCTTGTTGACTATCAAAACAGGTTCCACAAAGATCATAGTCACGACAAATTAGACATTTATATCGCCTAAACCTGAAGTCCCTTCGTGAACATCCGTTACAAGTCACACCTTGATATGAAAGAAGATTTCTAAGGATTGTTAGAACTTTTACAAAATTTTACAAAGCATTTCTTCTAAAATGGACCCAGTAACTGATAACGTAATTGTGAGACCAATTTGTTTAATAAAAACATAGTATGTAACTGTTCAAATTCATGACCTAGTACTAAAAACTGATGAATTACATCTGAATCAGTAATGCTGTAGCGTGTTTGGTGACAGGATTTTGTGTATTAGTTATAGAAATCTCTGTATTCGGAAACGAGGTAGGTTGGGAAGGTCAGTTTCTAAGAAATATCACGATTTACTTTACTTTCTAATTAAGGCACAATCATTAATACAACAGAGACCAAACACTGAATATAACAACTTTTAAGTCGGAAATACTGAGCTTCATAAAGAAAAAACAATAACAGCGTAGGTCATCATTTAGCCCTCTTTATTTCCACCCAGTTAGGATCTGACAACAATTACAACTTTTGTGGCGCATAAATATCTGGTGCCTTATTATATCAATATTTATGTGTTCAAATAAAAATAATAATATCGAAAAGCTTGTTCCACGTGCGTTTATCCGGGGACCCTGTGACATCTTCGTCTGGTTTTACTGGCGTTCGTGTTGCACCAAGCGCTAGGACTGAGGCAGCACTGACCGATTGGATCTCCATTAATAGTCGGTTATGTGCTGTTATACTAGGAAGTTCTATCAAAGTAGGAAGAAATCCGTGTGAGCGCTGGGTTTTTACATGCTTCTTACAACTCTTTAAGGCACGTCACTCTATTCTGGCTAACCACAAGCTTGATGATAAAAGTAGATTCTTACGTAAGGACATTGTGCATAGTTTGCGTAAGGTCACAGAAGCCTGGTGGTGAGAGCGTGTCAATAAGTTGGAAGCAGCAGCTGCATCTGGTAACCGTCGGAAGCTCTTTGGGCTTATCCGAGTCACTGGCAGCAAGATGTCGGTTTTGAGTAAAACAATCAGTGAAGCTGATGGGATACCGATCAATGACAAGTACCGATATCTTGGACGATAGGCAGAGTTTTTCGAGTAACAGTTTAGCTGGTCTGTTACCCCGGCGACATCAGTCAGACTGTCCTGTCCTAAATGGCTCATGATGACTGATCTACCTAATAAGGAAGAAGTTCTCAAGAAACTTCAACTCTTGAAGCGCCACAGATTACCAAGCCCAGATGACTTGCCGCCTTCATTTTCTAAGGGTGCTTACGACCTGACTATGAGACTACGTTGTTTGCAAACGTTTGGGAGTTACAGAACGTTTCAACATTCTGTAATGAGACGATAGTCATCCCTATCTTTCAAAAGGGTTTACGTCACCTATGCACTAACTATCAAGAGTAAGTCCACTTCCGATTGCTTCCAAACTATTGGCCTCCGTTATACTTATGAAGTCATCCAAAACTCGAGAAAGATTGACTCCCGAAAAGCAGGTCAGTTCTCTTTCTGATCTAGGATGTAAAAGACTGGGATCCCCTGTTTCTTCACGCCCCCCTGGTTGGGGGCCTAGAGATAGTGCAAGACAGCGGCTTGAGAGGATATCAGACATGGGTCAGAATAGGAACGAGTGGCGATCCTGCTGTAACTTTCACGAACCGAAGTGGTTAGGATATACATAGCATCGGTTAATGATGTCATTGATCAGTAGATGCAGATAATCTGGTTAGGGTCTGAGAGGGGACATGGCTTTAATTCAGTCACATTGGCGCGCAGGCATTCACTATCTATCTTTAATACCAGTATTCCTTTACATATACCTTTCCACTATCTCCTCGAAACATATTCCAATGTTCAGTCATTTTTTATTATAAGTGATATTAAGCCTTTCACCTACTGCGAATACAGTATAGTAACTTAAGGTCAATGCACATGTACAGAGGTCTACGTTGATGATTGATTAGCACCAAACTAGCTTGATCCTAGCAGCGTTGCTGACATAACTACACGCAATCAAGTCTACCACACCTTTTAAGAGTTACAGAAGTTAGATTGATGCAAGCTTCGTGGCACCGTTTGCACTCACTACACTGTACACCACTTTCCACAAGGCAACGATAATCCGGACGTTGGTAATTATTTTTCTACATTGTTCAGCCATCACCCAAAAGTTTTCAAACAAGTTGGTAATTAAAATATGTAGAAACCAAAACTTACAATAAAACGTTGGGTTAAAAAAGCAAAAAGTTTGAACCGCTGAGTGTAAAAGTCCAATAACCAGACAATCTGTTGTACTTAAAAAGAGTAATAGTGCAAAAAAATCTTCCTGGAGAACAGTGCTCTTTTAAATACTTTGACTGCAATTAATCCAATTTAAATGACAACAGTAGTCTTGAAGTGTAATAAACCATCAAAACTATGAAAGTCAGCTGAGAGAGGACAATTACTAACTTAAGAAAAACTAGTCGCCTAAGTCGCATTGTGTAAAGTCCAATCAACCCATTGTCTCACAACTAACACTAAAGCACTTTGATTGAAAGATTGTTAAGATTTGGTAAAAGTAAACACACCTACGCATAACAGTCCACTATAAATCGGCATTTGGAGTGGAAATATCGAAGTCTAACTATATACGCTAAGACACTTTTGAGAAAGACAAAAGAAAACTAGTCACAAGACTAATGAGCAAAATCTGTTAGACAATATTTAGTAGCACTTTATTTAACGCTTAGTTTTTAATGTCCTCAAAGTTCGATGAACAGAAGCTTAGTAGTACCAAGTAGTTTCAAAACACGTATATTCAACATTTGGATAATTTCCGACACTTATTATAGGCTAAATAAACCTGGGAGGAAAAAGCTTTTTAGCCTATCCTGATACTTATCTTGCAACCGAATATTCTCAATATAATAATCAAAGCTAAATAAAAGACATGGGAGAAAGTGCTACAGCCATTGAAATATGAAAGCATATCATCCAGATAACCAGTTTACACGAGAATTCTAGGTATTTAACTCCATTTTGACGAGAGCTGGAAATGTTATAAGGGTGGAGATACACTCACCATTGTTAATTTAAACTAAGTGAATTCTTAAGTACGACTACAAAATCCGGACCTTTAAAGCTTAAAATACTTTTAATCGCCCACAGAGCAGAAAAACGTTACTCCGATAGCTTCGCACACATAATATATAAATACCAGTGGGAGAAAATCGAAGGATATCCTTCGATATCCTTCAGCCATATGGCTGATAGTAATTGATAGCCATAAGACCTGAATATATATATATATATATATATATATATATATATATATATATTGGAAAATATCCTAAAGTTCAGCATATTAAACAAAGACGTAAACAGAAGTATACAAAACATACCTTCATGCTTGTTAGACATCAGACGGAAAATAAGCAGAACAAATATACAACCAGACAACAGATAACCTTGGAAAGCTACAACCTCGAAATAGAAACATGGTTTCAGTTTCAGTTTCGGTTTGTAAATGACAAGAGGTTCAATGATCTGTGTTAGTCTTGGCAATGGTGATCTCTCAGGTGATCCATTTTTTTAAAGAGTCGACGGATGGAGCCTCAACCACGTGTTGAGTTAATGAATTCCATTCGGAAAGTAGATAGTCAGCTGACAAGTAAATTGTTCTGGGCATGTGAACTGTTTTGGAGTGTCCTCGTAACTTTTCTGTTTCGAAAGACAAGAAAAATGAGGGCATACCAGGTGCAAGTTTATCACTAAGTAATTTGAAAACTGTAATCAAGTGGCCTCTGGTTCTTCGATATGACAGCTGGAATAAATTTAGCTTGGTCATTCTATCGTCATAAGGGAGCTTCGCCATTCCAGGAATCAGCTTAGTTGCTGTTCTCTGAACCCTTTCCAAAAGCTCACTCTCTTTTTTAAGCAAAGGCTAGCCGCTTGTATGCAGTACTCAAGTTTAGGACGCACGAACACTGTACATATAGTCAAAGCCTTTTAGCGTCGGTAAAAAATTCAAACTTAAAATCCCCGAAGATACTGATTCGCAGCTGTAAACAAACTGCCTAAATAGATGGTCCTATGAGTCTTTGACAATGATGCTGATCTCACTAGTTTTAACGGACACACTATAGCTGAAGGCGCTCAGTCATGCATTCGTATTAGATCACGAGTAGGAATATCGTGCTACACATCCCTCGCAACTACTGTTTCTCAACATATCGATAAGTTTTCGAATATTTCTTCGAACTTCTTCATTTCTGACTTCTGATTTGGCCTGGTTGATTTCCTTTGATCATAAATATGTTACGAATGAGGGTGTTGTCAAACTCCGAATACCTGTGGCACCTTAAGTGATGATTCCGACGTGATCTAGCACACCAACCAACAAACCGTGAGTCCGTTTCTTGTTTTACCATTGTATATCAATTCGTTTTTACACAATGATATTATTTTTGTATCCTCGGATATTTTTTGCACATTTGTATATCTTACACTCATAATTACGGAACAGACACCCAGATTGTTTAGGATTAGGACTCTCTCGTCTCTAAGCTTTCAGCTCGTGCCACTCTGACCTGATAATATGGAAGTCTGGTCATGTCGCGCAGAAGCTGACTTTCACGAGCACCGCGTTACAGACCCACGTGTACAATTCCTCGCAGTAGTGAAGGCACTACTGAGCGATTTTAGCAGTGCGTCACGCGTAGTATGTTTATTAGCAACGTCTATGGACCTTATGATACTTTAAAGAAGTCTAACCTTAAACGTGGAGACCCAACGGTCCGACAAGGATTAGACCAGCTTTTCCACAACATGAATTTGTGACACAGCTAAGCAACGGAAGTGTTGCTACGTATGCGAGAGGTCGTTGGTCAAAAGATCTTTGATAAAGACCTTTTTAGACAGCCGTACTTATTCAGGCTTTCCCAACAGATGTAGATGGTTTTTGTCTTATTCCGAAACAACGCTGTTGACAAATTGGCTTCATCTGCCGACCGGATTCTGGAGGCCATCAGAAACCCAAGCACCGTGGTTTATCCTGTCAAAGAAAACTACGAAGCAACACAAAATGACTTTGTGCATGACATTGTGTAACTTCATTTTCTGGTTGTAGATCATCCACAGTCACTGTTAAGCACACAATCGATCCATACTTTCAACGAATACTCTAAAAGTATTCCGAGCTTTACAAAATGCTATCGAAATCGTCGTGGGTATCCAGCTGTGTTACGCGCCACATGCCGACTACAGGACCACCTGTATTTTCAAATCCGCGTCGACTAGCTCCCGTAAGGCTAAGGTTAACTGAAAACGAATTCGACCACATGGTAGACTTAGAAACTATTCGGCCATCGAACAGCCCACGGACATTTCCCCTTCGCATTACTTACTTACGCCTGTTACTCTAAATGTAGCATAGGCCGCCGACCACCATTCTTCAACCCACTCTGTCCTGTGCCTTCCTTTTTAGTTCTATCCAAGTTTTGTTCATTCTCCTGATGTCTGTCTCCAGTTCTCGGCATAATATGTTCTTTGGTCTGTCTCTTTTCTTTTGGCCTTCAGGATTCCATGTGAGGGCTTACCTTGTTTCTCATCCCTTTCACATCGCCCCTAAAAATAACGGCAACCATTGACGTTCAGCTGGTGACTGAGTACGCAAACCACCCCCGATCAGTACCCTTTGCTGCACATTCACGACTTGGCAGCTACCTTAAAAGGTACATCTTCTTTTTCAAAAACCGATCTAGTTAGAACATATAACCAAATTCTCATGGTTTCGGACCATATACACAAAATGCTTACCATCACTCTCTTTGCACTCAACGAATTTTCGCACATGCCTCTCAGTTTAAGAAGTTCGGCCCAAACATTTTAGTGACTCATCGATGATGTCCTTAGTAGTTTCAGCTTCGTACACACGTATGTAGATGACCACTTGATCACAAGTCTGGACAGAGGACCTCATCTCCAGCATCTGGAACTTGTTTTCGAACGACAGCAAAAACAGAATCACCTTAAACGTTCAGAAATCTCAGATCGGGTCGGCTACTTGAAAATTCTTTTACTCAATATTGATGCTCAAGTCATTCGCCATCTGAAAAGCAAAGTGGTGGCCATCCCGGATTACCCAGAACCGGCCACATTCAAGCAACTACGTATGTTCAACGGCTTGGTAAGTTTCTATCAACGGTTCATACCGAACTGCACGTCTCTCATGGTATCCTTAACAAACCAATTTCGTGGGAACGCGAAAATCATCAGTTTTAGGGACAACGCGAAAAAGAATTTCTCCACGGTTAAGGAACCTATCACAAATGCAACTGTGCTCAGACATCAGGACATCATAGCATCCATTAATATCACTGCAGACACATCCGACTCGACAGTCACAGGAGTTTTACAACAACGACAGCTGACAAACTCTGGCTTTCTTTTCGAGACAGTTAATAATAATAATAATATATTTCTGCAATAGCAGGTACACGCCATTTTTACAGGCATGATCTACAATTTACAACATATACTGGTTCACAGTATGCATCCCAAGCAAGCTTGTTTAGTAATTATAATCTATAAAAGTTGATAGCAGTTCATTCGTTCACATATAATGTGTTTTCATAAGAATAGTTTCCAAAGGGGCATCGCGTCCACGTTATATACCAGATCCAATCTCGACAAAAAGTGTAATAGAGTTTCGGTAGTTCTAAGTATTTATGTAATGCAGCTTTTTAAGTTTATTTTTGTTAGAAAGTAGGCTTGTGGAGCGCCTGGTTCGAGCTATGACCTTGGGAAGACACTGAATCGAGGTATCGTACTTTCGGTAGAGAACACCGACCATGTACTGTGATGCACAGCACTTTCAAAAGTCTGTAGAAGGCTGATAATTCACTCTTTTTACCGACCATAAATACTTCGGCTCCCGTCTAAGCCCGTCTTCGGATAAGTACTGTACCGCTACTTAACTATCACTACAGACTGCGGATCTCAGTTCGAGTCTGGGCTTTTCGGTTGTCTTATCACACTGCTAGGAACCACAAGGTTCCGAAACACAGCTTGCCGGTCACAAGCTAACGAGTTGGCAGGATTATTCCACCAGCAGTTGAAAGCCTCACCGTCAAATGTAAACGTTTCACAGTGGACTGAGCCTCTCCCACTCGTGTTACCCGGTATTCGCTATGCGGTGAGAGCTGACATTAGATACACTGTGACACAACTCGTTTGTGGAACGGCGTTCCGACTTCTATGAGAATTCGTAGACCCTTAACTTTCTTCAATGGATATGGATCTAACCTCCTATACGAACAGGCTCGCAGGCGCCATGCGTACATGGAAGTACGAAGCGGAACCAGTCACCTGTGACTGTTCATGGAATGCAATTGATTGGTACGCCCTTATCGTCCTTGAACTTGGCGAGGCTCGATAAACTGTTCGACAACCGGTGACCTACCTGCTGGACGACTTGGCTGAGGCCTAGTGATATTTCATCAGCCCTATGGGTTTAATTTGTCATTCCTGACCTCCCTTCCCTTTGTGGGACTATTAGCTTGAATTATGTCTTAGAGACGCTACTGAACCTTTATTCAATAATAATATAATAATAATAATATATTTCTGCAATAGCAGGTACACGCCATTTTTACAGGCATGATCTACAATTTACAACATATACCGGTTCACAGTATGCATCACAAGCAAGCTTGTTTAGTAATTATAATCTATAAAAGTTGATAGCAGTTCATTCGTTCAGATATAATGTGTTTTCATAAGAATAATTTTCAAAGGGGCATAGCGTCCACGTTACATACCAGATCCAATCTCGACAAAAAGTGTATTAGGGTTTCGGTCGTGCTAAGTATTTGTGTAATGCAGCTTTTTAAGTTTATTTTTGTTAGAAAGTAGGCTTGTGGAGCGCCTGGTTAGAACTATGACCTTGGGAAAGCGCGTTCATCGAGCTTGTTCCAGATGTCCGAAGTTACATAGCTTCACCCTAAGCGCAAGATTCTGAAGAGAAAAAAAGAGAAATCGAGGAGCAGCAAGGCATTTGGATATGAACGATAACCAATGCTTAATATTTATTAGTGGAACAGATGGAGGTATGATAAATTATTAGATTAAATTGATACTAACTCATGTTGCAAGAGTGAACTGCGATTAGGGGCTCCAGAAGAGAGAATGCATTAATAAAGGACAATGAGTTGTGATATTTATCAAGGTGGAGTAGGTTCCAATGAAGGAGGGAAGTCAAGGTTGGAATGAGGAAAAACAGAGAGTGCATATAGAGAGTAGAGTGTTGAGTAAAATAGCAATCATATCCCATACAGTTTTTTTCATCATCCGATGCCTGCCACACAGTTTTCATGTCGTTAGCCCCATGAACTTGAAAGCATGCTTATTGATTCATTTAATTGTAGAGTTATGGTCTAAGTTCGTTATTAGTACTGCCCTAATAATAGACCTAATTCTAAAATTGTAGAAACATTATGATGTGACCACCTTAT